TGCATTATTGGTCATTCGGTCTCAACAAGAACAATATCTATGATTAGATTTTGAAGTTCATAACTTATTTCATGTACGCGGAGTAATCCATATTTTTCTTAGGCTTGGAAGGTATTGTAGCACTTTCGATGACGGGAAGAAGCTTTTATCATTTGATAGACAATGGTTATTTATTGTGATATTAACATTGTAAACGCCGTGATTTTAGAGTAATATAAGACTTTAGTAATTTTTATGGTCTCGTTGAAAGTATAATGTTGATAGGGATGATTGGATGCACTTCTAAAATATTGTAGGTGCTCAATATCATGTAGGACGGAGTGGTTGATGATGGTTAGGGGGACGTGGAGGAGGTGGTTGAGGAGTTGGACGTGGTGGGAAGCGAGGTGGAGGTGGTGATCGAGATTGAGGTGGAGATGGTGGTGGTGGGTGGGAGGTGGAGCTAGGTGGAGAGTTTGGTGAAGGAAGTAATGGAGATATCGGTGGTGGGGAAAAATGGCGAGGTGGAGGTGGAGATGGAGATGGAGGCAGAGACAGTGAGGGAGGTGGTGATCTACGGTGAGGGGTAGGTTTTTATCACTTTCCGCCACTCATTATTTGTTCACAATCTTTTGCACTTAATTGCTGCTGAAGGTTAAAGGTTGAACTCTAAGTGGGGTTTATGCTTGTGCTTATGCACTTTGGTGAAAATTTAATTTGTGTTTTTATAGTTTCTTGTTTTACTTAAATTTAAAGTCAGATAGCATGTGTTTGGCCTCTTCTTCATTTTTTTTTTAATTCATTTTTTCAAAACTCATTTCAACCACATGTTTTCTCATAAAACAATTTTACACATAAGTGCAAAATTTTTCCTTAACTTTTAACCACGTATTCAAAAAATAAAAATTCACTATTTTAAAATACATTATCCTTAAAAATTGGGCTCAAATAGAAATATATCTTATTTTCAAAGTTAAAGAAAAAATAGCATCGAAGAATATAGAGGCTTGTTTTGAAACAAAGTTGCAATCTCAAAAGTCTAGAATATTAATATTCAAAAATTGCTATTCCTCAAAAATAACAAAAATAATATTTTTCTAGAATATTGATATTAAAAACTAACTTTTTTTAGTAGCAATAGTTAAATCAAAAGATTAAATCAATATAATAAAAAGTTTTATAAATCACGATTTACATCATATCTTACAAATGAGATTAAAATACTTGTAAAATGCACTTAAGTTTTAAGTTTGACAAAACGATAAAACTTCGAGAAATTCTCTTAAAGGGATGATCTGATACATCTAGAAAACTTCCAGTATGCAATTTACAATTTTTGGAAGAAAAATGTTATGATATTTTATACACATTTTTATAAATAAGAAAAATAATCTTATTGAAAACGTGTTATAAAATTAGTAAAAGACAAAGTATAAGATAAGAGAATAAGAGACAAAAACAGAAATAATAAATAATTTTGTGTGTATTTTATTGGGAACCAATATTTCTAATTTATAGGTTAGAATTATGATCGTAGGAAAACAATCATCATTCATAAATGGTAACTAATTTACAAAGATAAAAACTTTATATTTTTTAAGACCGGTTTTATAATTAAAATTCGAGAACTAATTGACCAAGTAGACAATGTTGAAGTTCTTTAAAAATGAAATCTACTTTCCCTTTTTAACTTCCAAAAAAAGAAAAAAAATGTTGTAACTCAAAACATAGATGTTATGTTGCTATATTTAGAAGTAAGAATCATTGTCGTGTTAACTTAATCAAATTGAATATTGATGAACTAACAAATTTCTTTTTTTTTTTCTAAAGTCTAATAGCAAAAAATCTCTGTCCAATAGACATTGTGTGAAAAACTCCTCTATCTGCTGAAAATAGCAGAAAAGGTTTTTTTTGAAACTTTTAATGCGGGAAGCTATTACGAATGGGTAGCGACCTCTATCGCAAGCAGTACTTTGCTCACATAATATATAGGTAGTTGATGGCCCTCCTCTGATTACTTAGGCGTTTCACGATATCCTAATATTCGACCGTGTTGTGGCTATAGGAGTGATGGTATGTGCAATGAGGGAGGTATCTCATCCCTATTTCTAGGTCTAGAGCCTCGCCCTTGTCTCTTCCTACTCAAGGTAATTGTTGTCTCCCCTGATACATTTCTGCATTGGAGTTCACCTCTTTGTACGCCAAAGTTAGAACTAAGTTAATTGTTGCTGTGGCTAATGCTTGTCCCTGGATTGAGAGAATTTGATTGTCTAGCCTAGTTATCTATCAAGTGAGATGTAAGACCTCTCACTGTTTGCATTTGAGGAGGTTGGAGGCCTTGATTTGCTTGATTTCGGAGATCCCTCATTTCTTCATTGATGATTTCTCATCTTTTCATTTTCAACAAGGCGTTGTAACTAGTTGGGTCTTTATTTTGCATATCTTTCTAAAAGAGGAAATTCATATCCAATCCTTTCTTTAGGGTCATCGATGCTTCCCTATTCGTGATTGCACGCAGTAGGTCATTTCATTAGTGAAGCGGGACAAGAAATTTTTCAATGATTCCCCAGGCAGCTGCCTCACGTCCCGAGTGCATTTTATTGGCCTCTTGCCCTCTTTGTAGTGGCGAAATGTTTAAAGAAAGCTTTCTTGAAATCTGGTCAACTTCTAATGCTTCCAGTTGGAAGTCTAGTGCACCAGACCTACGTTGTTTCACTTAGAGTAAGGTGAAAAGCTCTGAATTTCATGGCAGAAGTAGCATCCCTTAAGCTCATGTGAGTTTTGAAACTATTAAGGTGCTTTGCAGGATTCCTTCTTCCATCATAATTAGGTACTTTGGGCAGCATGAAATGGTTTAGAACAAGGGAATTCCTTATTTCTTGAGAGAACGACAGATTGTTGTCATTATCATTAAGGTCATGGTACTTCAATGGCTCGTCAGAATCCTCTTGTTCCCTGACTAGGGCCTCCTGAGGTGGCTGGGATGGTCCTGCTCGATTTCCTACCTGTACCCATAGACTGGTTCAGCATGCATTCCGAATGAGGCTCTTCGCACCATCTATTTCTAAGCGAAGAAGCTGCTGAGCTTGCTTATTTCTAGGTGGTCTTGGGTTCAATCTATCTACGACGCTTACTGACCTTCTTGTCGCGTTCTCTGGATCGTAATTGGGTGGAAAGGTAAAAGGGACCTCGTGAGGTTGATTCGCGACATAGTTGGTGGATATATCTACTCTTACTTCCCTTTCGTCAAGGACTTCCTCATGATATTGCTAATATCCTGCCAGTTGGCTTTGGACCTCGTCTTCGCCATTATAATAGTTCCCTTGAAAGGATACATTCTCCTGGGCTGCATATAGGAGAATCGGATATCCTCTTGGATTTTGCATGTTCTTTAATAACTCTTGCATAGCAAGATTTTGCTAGGTAATGTTCCTCATGTTTTCAGCTATGGTGGCCAATTTCCTAGTGAGTCTAGCAGCTATTCTAGATCTCCTTGTGATCCACATCGTGCTCCACCTTGTCTATTCAGTTGGTGGAATCTATGGCAAGACGCAAGGATAGTATACGAGGGTTTCTCTTCTTCAGGGTGTTCCCTGGCTCTTCGAGGTGCAGGTTCTTCATCGCTGGTACTCATGATCCTTACAAGAGGTTTCAAAAGCAGTCAATGCTCATTTTCAGAAATGGCATTTCAAGCAAACTATTCCTTTTAGTAATCCTTTCTTCAAGGATACTCCCATTTTCTTCAAAGGTAAGAAATCCTCTTTACACGAAGATTGCTAACATTTTTTCATGGGATTTTCGTGGTTATCTATCGAGTTTTCCCACAGACGGCTCCAATCTGTTGACTCCAAAAAATGTGCCAACAGGTGTTGAGTTCTACTTGGGTCCACGTAAGCAAACTCTAATGGGTTTTTAAGAACATGGAAATGAGAGTGAAATGCACTCAGTCGAGAACAATCGAAATCAGAAATGACTTTCTTACTTAAGCCAATGTTTAGAGAAATAAAGATAAGTGTATGTGTTCGAATGTATATTTTTCCCTCTTTTACAATGTTACAAGAGTTGCCATTTATAGTGACCCAATCGAACGGGTTACCATTGGATCAGATCCACATGGCTCCATCTAATTGATCGAAATCTCACATCACTTTGTCATACATTAATTATATTGACTAATACATTTGATAAGGGGTCGTTCACCCTACATTCCTAGGCTAACCTATCTGATATTTATTAGAGCAAATGTCACATCAAACATTCCCAAAGATACACTGATCAGACCTGCTCCAAAGGAAACAATCACTTTGATCGCAAACTATAAGAAGGATCCTCGGACATGAAGGAGTTAGGAATACTTCAACAGTGGAGTTCTAATGGAGATAGTGCCTTGGCCACGTAGATGATTTTGTCTTCTTCTTTATTTTGACTTATTGACTACCGTGTATGCGTACGCGGTGTCTCCACATGGCTTCCATTGGAGGCATCACATATGATCAGTAACAGTGATCTTTATTTTGGTTGTTGATTATACACTTATCTAAGCCATTAAATTGGAGCATCTGTTAGTGATTTGGATAAGTTATACCTCAGTTATGTATTAATTATGTTTGTTAGGTTGAACTCAATGCAAATTAGTGAAATTCGAAGAAATAAATGAAATTTATGGCAAAAATGAAAGAAATCAAAAGTTTGAGGACTAAAGTATAAGTATTTAGTAGTTGATTTGGACTATAAAATGATGATTGAAGATCACATATGATCAACTGGATTCAATTTGAAGTCAAAGGAGTGAAATATAGTTAATGTACTTTCACAAATAAATTTCTAGTCGAAGAAGTTATTCCTCGAATTTTGGACAATCTACAAACACTAACAATCAAGGACCTAAAGTTGTATGGGTACCAAAGAACAAAAGCTAAATTATTTTGTAGGTATCAAAGAAAATAAAGAGCAAACCGTCTTGAGTTAGTGGATGTTTGAGCACATGATCGGGAAACGAGCTATATTCTCAAAAAGAAATAATGGCGTTCAAAATAAAAGAATTGGAGTCAATAAACACTCCAAAGAAGTCATCAATCAAATTGGATGATCAAGGTATATTTGTAAAAATAACAAAATATCGAGGTATGATCGAATCCTTTCTTTTTAACTACTAGATGACCCGATATTATGCTAAGTATGTGCTTATGTGCTATATTTCAATTAATCATAAAGCATAGCACATTTGTACTGAAAAATGGATTTTTAGATACTTAGTCTCACTAGGACATTAGGTTTTTGGCATCCGAATGCACCCACCTAAATTTACTAGCTTGTGGAAAATCAATTGACCGATAGTTTTACTAAACCTCTAGCTCTTGATAGATCTCTACACGTTCAAAGAGGTTAGAAAATTTTTGGTTAATTTGAAATATGTGGCTATATGTTTATGCGTTGATAAAAGTGTTTCTTTATGTCTCTATAATAGCAAAATTGAAATTATTTGTCATTACCTATCTACTTGTATTGAAAAATGTCCCCTTAGTAGATGATATTAAACATAATCCTTTTAATTTTTAGTCAATTTTGTGATAAATTTTATCATATCAAAACTTGATTCTTCGAAATGCTTATTGAGGATGCTACATCAAAAGATGATGTTTATAGGAAGTCAAAATAAGGATGTTTATGTTATTTGAAAGTGAAGAAAAATGTTTATCACATTTAAAAGATACTTGACTGCGGCATAAGATTTGGTCATGGACCAACTTTCAAATATTTCCAAAAATTGTTTTTGTTAAAAATATGCCATATTTAAAATTTGTGGCATGTCAAGCAAGTGAAAGTTTCTTCTAACTTAAGCAATAATCTTCGACTACAAAACATGTTCAATTTCTTCACATGAATCATTTTGGACAATCTAGAATCACAAATTCAAATGGTAGGCATTACGCTTTATTGAATACTATTCTAGATTTCTTGAATCTTATTTTTGAACCTAAAGCATGAAACTTTGAATCATTTAAATATCTTTATAAAAAGGTTCAAAATGAAAAGGAATGTACTACTATATGTTTGAAGTGATCATTGTGAAGAATTTTGATAATATTGATTTTGGTAATTTTTGCAAAATTGATGGCCATGAACATTACTTTTTGGCTCCTTGAACACCTTGACAAGATGGTGTTGTAGAAAGAAAGAATCACAAATCACAAGAAATGACTAGGAAATTGTTTACTTAAAATTGTTTAGTTGCAAATATTTTATCTTAAGTATTAAGAAAAATTGAGAATTATCAATAAATTTGAAGCTTGTGCCTAAATTGATTTTATACTATATGTTCTCATATGATTGATTCTACATGCAAGACTAGTTGGAATGTATATAAATCTTATCCAAATTATTATACTTTCATCATTTCATCATTCGTAATTTGATTAATATTTTTACTATAAAGTGATGATCATCCTCTTGTTTAAACTTGCATATATTTGGCACCTTGTGATTAATTGAGGGGGAATATATTACCTTTTTCTATGGTTGACTTAAAGTTTTGAGCTTATATGATATATTCTTCCTATTTGCTAACTTTTTGAGATAGAATTTGAAAAGCATTACATCTCTTACAAAGATAGAGAGAATAACGTGATATCTAAAATTCTTTGTGGTCATATTTTGATCTTAAATGTAAAATCTTTTTGCTTATTCCAAAAGGGGGAAATGTAGTGAGATGATTATGCATGCTTGAATTGAAAATATAATATGCCTAGAGTATATGAACAAAAGGAAAAAGAGTGAATGTATGCTTTAAATATACGGTTATTGATTTGTAAAAGTTAGGGGGAATATGAACTATGTGAAAAATTTATAATGTATATTCATTTATCAACTTGATATAGATTGTTCGTTTTTACCTTGCAGATCATCTTGTTTGTCATAATCAAAAAAGGGAAAATTGTTGACCTATGGTTGACTTCATCCACAATGTTTTGATCATAACAAACAAGATTAATATTGTTTCTAACAATTTATTTTGAGTAATGATAGTTTAATGTAAAATCAATTAAGCACTATCAAATCATTCGAGACGAAGAAAGATGAAAAGCACGAGAGACGGCATCAAAGAAAAAGGTCAAGATTTAAGTCACACATTCAAGAATCTAAGAGCCAAACTTTGGAGGAAGATTAAAGATTTGATTTCTTAGGCAAAATGTAAAGGTACTAACACTTTGATATATGACAATGAATGGTTAAGCTCAAAATCCTTCTATGCATCAAAAATAATTTTTGTCCACTAAAAGTCATTCCAATGCAACGTTTTGATCAAATATAAAAATGACTTTTAAAAGTGATATTTGGACTTTAAAAAACATTTTTATCATGAAAAAATAGTTAAAAATATTTTCCAAAGGTCCATGTACTTTAAAACTTTCATATCGGAACAAACGGGGCCAAAACGTAAAAACACCGCGCTGTCGGGGTAGTCAACCTCCCAGAGAAGCGGTCAACCGGCCATAGGAGGTAGTCGACCGGACACCCTCCAACGGTCCAGAATTTGATCGTTCTGACTTCTGATTTTTGTTGTACAAATGGCTATATTGATCTTCCGGACGAGAGACGGTCGACCGGACTAGTCTTCCGCAAATACAGATTTTTTCTCATTTTTGAACTCTATAAATATCCTCACTCTTTCCATTCTTCACAAGATTTCCAAGTGAATCAAAGTGAGATATTTTTGCTTTAAAAATTCTTTGAGCTTTCATTTGCATTCATTTCATTTGTTTCTTTATATAAAAAACTTTGATTGATTCAAACTCATTAATCATCATTCTCATCAAAGTTTTCCATCTCTCTTTGTGTTTAACTTATTTATATCATTCTTAAAAGAGTGGTATATTATTGAAGAAGGTATTCACACTCAATTGCATAAAACTTTTTACTTTTTCGTATTGAAAAACTTTGATTGTTGAATTAAAATTCTTGAATCATTTCCTCATCAAAGTTTTTCATATCTCTTTGTGTGCAACTTATTTATATCAATTTTCAAAGAGAGATATATTCTTGAAGAACTTCTTTACACTTATATTGCATAAATTTTTCAACTTCTTCATATTGAAAACTTTGATTGATTGAATCAAATTTGTAAAATTATCATATTCATCAAAGTTTCTCATTTCTCTCTTAGTACTTGATTTATTATAATCATTCATTAAAATGGGATATTTTTTGAGAAGATTATTTGAATTTACATTGCATTTGATTGATTGAACTTAATTTTTCAGTTGTCATTTTCATCATAGTTTTTCATCTAACACTTGAGCTATCAATTGTTATTATTCATTAAAGTGTTAGCCTCTCCTAGTATTTAATTTGTTTTGTATTATTTATCAAGAGACGATTTGATTTTAATATCATTTTGATAAAGTGTGGTCGTGTTGAGATCCCCGGAAAGCTCAATATTGTGTAAGGATTGGTGCTCCTTGTTGTAAGTCACCGTGTGGGTCATATTGAGATCCTGTAAAACTCAATAGTGTGGGTTGTGTTGAGGTTCCGTAAAGCTCAACTTTGTAAAGGATCGGTGCTCGTTGTTTGTAAGTTACCGAAAACGTTGTAAAGAATTGTATTGCACCATAAGTCAATCAACATAGTGAAAAGGCCTTGCTCGTGCTGGGGAGCTTGGTAACGGAGGACTAGATCATTGCTTTGGATCAAACCTCCACAATTATATCGTTTGCATTCTCTCTCCCTTTTAATTATCGATTTTATACTTGCGCTTATTATTTGAATTTATCAATTTAGTCTTTACTTTCTTATTCGTGCCTATTTGTTTAATTGACATATTTACTATCATATTGGTTTATATCTGGAATCAATTTTTGAAAAAGTTTTGAAAAATCAATTCACCCTCCTCTTGGTTAGTCATTCCTGGACTTTCAGGAGGTGGGGATGGAGGCGATAGAGTTCGAGGTGGTGGTGGAGGTGGAGGTGGTGGTGGTGGCGATAGAGTTTGAGGTGGTGGTGGAGGTAGAGGTAGAGTGGAGGTGGTGGCGATAAATTTCGAGGTGGTGGTGGAGATGGAGGTGGTGATAGAGTTCGAGGTGGGGGTGGAGATGGAAGTGGAGTTGGAGATAGAGGCGGAGGAGGTGGCGATAGAGTTCGAGGTGGTGGTGGTGGCGGAGGTGGCGATAGAGTTCGAGGTGGTGGAGGTGGCAATAGAGTTCGAGATGGTGGTAGAGATAGAGGCGGAGGTGGCGATGGAGTTCGAGGTGGTGGAGATCTACGTGGAGGTGGGGGTGGAGATTGGCAAAACAATGGTAACCTTACTGGTACTTCTTCGTCAAAATCTCGTAAGCGTACGAGTTCGTTGTACAAGTGATAATCGTAATGAGAGAGTTATCGTCCTACAGGGAATAAAGATCAATTTTAGTATGTTTGATATATTTAAATTTGTGTTTGTAACCAAAAGACGATTGATGAATAACTAACTAATTTTTATAACTAAAACTCATAAAATCAATGAAAATTGGTTTTAAAAAAAATCAAATGTGTGACGTATCGGATTTTCGACGCCATTGATCAATTCTTAGTTCTAATTCTCAACCAGTATTAATTATCTTAATTCGTGCAATTGCGACGATTGATAATTCCACTTTTATTTATTATTCTTTTCCAATATATAATAAACTTATGTTTACCACGAGACGATTATATTCCTAGTCCGAATTCATATGGCAAACATGCATTGACATTTAGGATTATCACATATGATCGCACACGCCACAAATATTATTCCTAATATTTATTGCCCGTGTGTTCCAATAATAGTGTTCTACCTATCGTAAGTTTTCCAACACCACGAATAAGCAATTTATTGTCCTAATGGTGCGCAAACATTAAAACAATATAATTATGCATATTAAAAGAATCACAACACAAGAATTAAGATAAAAACACAGGTTTCGATTTAATACTAAGAATTAAACAATTTTGTCATCCATCCAATACATGAAAATATTTAGCCTATCATAAGATTGGAATTAAACACATAAAAGTGGAAGGAAGTCACCGAAAATCAACGAGAAGTGATTAAATACCAAAATTATTCCCCGCCTTTGCACATGTACTTGTCAATTTCCAGGCAGTTTTTCTTTTTCTCTTTTCTTAGCTGATTCTTTTTTCGCGAAAATCCAGTTGCTACCTTATTTCTCCCAGTTGGGCAAGTAAATCTCCAAGTTAGGCTTCCTTTTATGTATATAATCCCAAAGTTGGCTCCAATACAAAGCCTTGAATGTTTGGTCACACTTGCAGCCACCAACTTAGTATATAAATAAATCAATTCAGCCCTGTTGAACTTACAAGCAGCCGCTCAATTTTTACCGATTAATTCTCTTGATGCTTCCCTTCGGTTAGCGTGTAATTCCTTCTTTTTCTCCTAATTGGCGTATAAAATATATATAAAAATCAATTCAGCCACTAACCTTCCTTTTCTGTATTGGCCGTATGATATGTATATATATTTCTCCAGCAGCCGTTTTCCCTCCTTTTAAAATCCCTCGGCAGCCTCTTTTTTCATTTTTTGCCCACCAAAAGTGTAACGCCCCAATTTTTCATTAAACATAAACATGGGAACGTTACGAAAAACTCACTTTTCTTTATTTATAAATGCGGAACTATATAAAAATAAGATTCTTCAATAAACAAATAACTGTAACATTTAAATTTAAATAATTGAAAGCGTATCTAACCATAAACATAAACTCCTAAATAATTCAAATAATACGTTCTAAATAAAATTAAACAAATTGCTAAATTTAAAACAGCAAACTTATTTCTTTTTTATCTATTCTTCATTCACTTGGCAGCCCGCATCACCAATTCTTCACTGCTCCAATCGACCCGAACTAATCTGTAACATTAATGTAAGAGTGAGTATTTTAAAAATACCCAGTAATATACGTGCAAATTTCCATACACAGATATATAACAAATAAATAATACACTTCATACCGCTCTTCTCTTATGGAGTATATCGGTGACCAAACGACACACCCATTTTAGGTCCTCTTAATTTCCATGTAGAATTTCGTATCTCTTTCTCTAGAACCCAAAGGTCCACTAGCATTCCATGCATATTTAATCGCATATAAGAGTATAAGGAAACGTAAACACTTTGCACATAAATGTATCTTACCTTGATATTAAAATTCCAAAAATATGAATGCGTGTTCCAAATTTCTGAATTTCTTGACTGCGTCAATAAAATTAGCTTGCTTTCTCTTCAAAATATTTTACCTCTCTCTACTGCGTGTGTATAATTTCTAGGATGTATTCTGATCTTTCTCTCTCTCTCAATGGTTTTTTTCCCTGTCGGGCAGCGTGCCTCTAATTTCTTTCTCTCTCTCTCTGATTATCTCTCTCTATTTGTGTGGTCCATCCCCCTAGGCACACTAGGTATTTATAGTGCAGGATTTTTGAAAAAGTGGGACACTGCACCATTAATTTTTATCTTATTCAGCTAAAAAGATTTATTGGGTATGTACAATACACCTTTGTTTTTATACAAATCACACGATAGAGGTTCCATCAACAAAGTGATATGATTTGTATAGGACAAAACAGTACATACTATTAATGAGGTGGAAGAGTCTTGAGAAAGGAATTACAATAGCTATTTATTTCAACCCACGAAATCTGGTCTAGAATTTGGTGAATTATTTACTTACGGAAGTTTGATACTAAAATTCTAATTGAATAATGGATACAGGGGTTTAAGATATATCATATTGGATTAGCACTAACAATTAGCATTTATCCTAATCAAATTAGGATTATGATTAACAATCAAAATTTATCATAGCCTGTGCTTGGAATTATTATTATTATACACGTGCAGTCATGATTATCTTAAAACTAAAATCATAAATCAACTTCAATTATTCCTCAAATCTAGCATCTTGAACATAAATATCTATGTGTTATTCAATCTTACTATAATAGAGTACGGTGGACAAGATTTCTAGTACTAGAGCAAATATTAAAATTATTTGACTACTATTATCTGCCCTTTTCTTTCTCCAAAAGAAAAATAATATTAAAATAAAATCACCCTTTTCCTACAATTTCTTCACGTGGAAATCTAGCTACCTTTATCAACTCCCAAATCAAAACAATTAAATTAATTATTAAAATAATACACTCAATCACCATACACGTGGCAGCTTCATGATATAAACTAATCAAATAAAATACCATAAAGTACCAATTTCTTCAAAGGTCAATATCTTAGGCTTAACTTATCCGAATTAATTTTTTCTCGGGCCTAAAATGCATAATTAAATACGAGCTATCTAACGAGTATAATATTTATATACTTATACTCACTCTATCAAAATTCACATATTTGACCCGAAAAAAATTTAAGAATATATTTTGACTTAGTCCCTCGACTTTCGAAATAATATAGATAATAAATAAATTTTTATTCAAAAATTTTGGGATGTTACAAAAAGTCCACAACTTTTTTATCATAAAATAAATCCAAGTCCACATTAATTCCTTCTATTTTATCAATTGGTCCAAGGCCCAAATAAGGTATTATTTCTCCAAGTCTTCATATTTCAAAGTGCGAAATTTGATCTCTAAACTTTGCATCAAATAGCCAATTAATCTTTCATCCTTTTCCAAATCTTCAAAACGGGTCGAACACTAAAACGAACAAAAATTAACCCAAATTAAATAAAATTCAATAATTTTACGACTTAGAGGTTTAATAAAATGGTTTAAATAAGTATACAAATTACACTCTTCAGTACCGGTATGCATGATTTTTCAATGATAGTTGCATTTGCACATACAATGAGTGTACACATAAGACCTATCAGAACATATAACCAGTGTTTCTTGTAGCCCAACATGGCTACAATGCAAAGATTGTATCTTAGCTTCCTCCAATCTTTAGGCAAGTTCTTCTTTGGCTTACCCTTTTACATCGTTTGCTGTGTATATATAGAAAATCCTTCTTACAAATGTTAAATTAGTCCATCATTCTACAGTGAATTGAATAGTTTTTCTTCGACTAATTATTATGGTTCGGTGAACGCTAAGTGACTTGTTTGTTTAATTTCCTATATGGAATGATAAAATGCCATTAACTTTATATTAATCTTGTACCCTTGTGATATATAAGATTTTGAAAATATTGACAATTTAAAATTTACTGAACAACAACATCAACAATAACAACAACAATAATAATATCCCTGGTTATGTAGTGCATTTGAGAAATGCATTCTTCAAATGCTCAGGTTTATTTTTTTTCCCAAAAAAATATATATTATAGTAGCTATTATAGCATAGGGGGATGGATAAAATTAAGTACACTATGAGGGAATTATAGCAGCTACATCTTACCTCTCAGTAATTAGATAATTGAATTTTATTGGCTTTGCCAAACAGCAACATAATGATAATGGAATTAAACTTAAAAGATCTACAAGCAATTCTCTCTAAACTCTTTAAGACACTGCCTTTAAAAGTGGTCACCTTTAATATAGCTCTCTTTTATTCCACTAACATAGCTACATTTCGTGTAAGTATGGGTAATTCATATTTTCATTTTTCAGAAATTTAAGAAATAATTTATTTTAAATAGACTACGGGCCAATAAAACATTTCCTTTTTGGATAGATATATATGTACAAACTATGGTTGACAAAATCTTTCACTCCCTCTCACATAATGTGTGGACCCCGCATGTATTTAAAAAATGGCGACTTGTGGTACCCACCCCTATTGTGAGTAGTGAGTAAATGATTGTGTAAAAAAATTTGTACATGTAACATTGTCCTTCATTTTTACTAAGAGAAAAGTCCATTAGAAGTTTCTTAATATTTTTTTGCACTTTTTTTTTATATTTAATTTTTTTGTAAATTTAAAAGAAAAAACAATTATATTATAGGGTTTCTATATATGCAATATAGCTTTCCAAAAATCTACACGATGGAAGGAAACTATACGGCTACCTCTACCACAAATACTCTATGAACTCTAGGCACTGCCTTTTTTAGTTCTCACCCTTAAAGCATAGTGTTTCGCGCGAGTAGTCGTTAACAATTAAAAAGGGATCAGACGATTGTATGAGGAACAAACCTCTTGAGACAAAGTCCCCAAAAGGGGTGTTTTATTGGCGATGATTTACAATTGAAACTAAACAAAATGCCTCCAAGGGGCGCAAGCACACGAGTACTGAAAGAAATATTTAAATTTAAACTAAGAAATTGAAATTACATATTCTCTGTTTGAGAGTGTTTGATTCAGAGTTCTTTCTCTCTATGTCTTCTCTTCCTTTTATATTCCCTTGATGATTTCTTTGTGACA